TTTTCATGATATGATTATTTGTGTAATCACTTACTTGACTGCTTCTTGTGTAGTGGTACAGTTATAAATTGAAGATAATGTGTTGACTTTATCATGTAAAAGGTAATGAATAACTAAACTGTTCTTCTTTGAGCAGGATAGTCAAAATAGAAAGAGACAACATTGACATACACATCCAAGCAATGTCTCAAGCTCCAGTAAGTCATTCTGAGTTGAAGCTTTTCTTATGAAGAACCATAATTTTGGTCTACATTAGGCATCAAAAGGGGTTTACACTATATTCAGTGGTGCCAAATAGTTGATGGATTTTTCGTTTTTGTTCTCTTACAGATGGATATCAGTAATGTGGATGAACAATTATGTGAAGGTCAGCAGCATGTGGAAAACAGAGACCTGGATCAGCTGAATATCTCTGAGAAATCAGGACATCGCTGTGACCACTGTGGAAAGGGTTTTAAGAGCTCTTACTGTCTGAAAAGACACCTGCCTTTCCTCTGCTATGAGTGTGGGAAGCGATTCAGGCAGAGTGGACATTTGGATCAGCATCTATACATTCACACCGGCGAAAAGCCTTTCGTCTGCCATCAGTGTGGGAAAAGCTTTGCTCGTAGATCTTCTCTGAGAACCCATCTACATATCAACACCAGAGTCCCTACATCTGCAGGAGGTGTGGAAAAAGCTTCAGACCATTGAAATCTGTGCAACATCATCTGGAAATTGACACAAGAGAAGAAAATCCTACCATAGCAGAGGCTTCACTTCCTGTTTGGTTCTCATGCTTCTCCTTATCTGAGACCAAAGCTTAACGTCTTTAATAAAATTCACTTGCATTCAAAGATTTTTATATTTCTTCCTTTTGCAGCTATAGTTCTGATAAAAACTTTAAGATGAGTACATATTCCTCCATTTTTAGCTTCCTTTTAATGGCTTCCTGTTAAATCCAGAATTATAATGAGTAGATAATGGAAGACCCAGATTCAACCAAAGCAAGAGACGTTTAAACAGTTTATTGGAATGAAACTGGCGCTGGTTGGGAGAGATTCACCACAATCAGCAACTAGAACTCAGAATACAGTTTAGAGATCCAAAAGACACTAAGACAGGTCCGATAGGGGTCAGGCAGGCAGGTTTACAGGAATACTCACAATAATCTGACACTAGTCACTGGTCTGAGAGCTGGTTATACAGTTAGGTAAGAGAGATGGAGGCTGAGTGGAAACAGGGCAGAGCTGACAGGTGTGTTGAATCCTGAATCAAACTAGCACTCATGCCAGGAATCATGACAAGAATAGAATTCAAAATCCTCCCTCTCACCTATAAAGCCCTAAACAACCAAGCTCCATTTTATATTAGAAATCTGATTGTTTCTGGCGTTCCAAACACTCACTTCACTCTCAATCTGCAGTGGTTCCTAGAATTTCTAGAGTGGATGTCAGAGACCACATAAATGTAATGGAAGAAGCTCAGTAATCAAGAGAAACGTTACAAAATTAAGAGATTTAATTGTTTTGAATAAAATAATAGAGCTGGAAAGAAGAAAATTAAAGTTTAGGTTGAGAATATATGTTTCTGATTGATTTTAGGCCAGCAGAGAAGGCTTTGAAGGCCCTCACAGCTCACCACTGATATATAGGGATTCACAAATCATAGTTTGCCTTTATATATATATATATATATATATATATATATATATATATATATATATATA